CCAGCCCTGCCCGCGTGCCTGTGGAATGATGCCCTGCTGGTCCTTCTCCTGCTTGCCCATCATGGTGTACGACTTGCCGGCTCCCGTCTGCCCATAGGCGAAGATGCACACGTTGTAGCCCTCGAAGGCGTGCTGCAGCATCTCCTCCCCGATGTCACGGTACACCTGCTTCTGGGAGGCGTAGTTGATGTCCTCCGGCTGGGGCGACAGTGTGGAGGCTGTGGGCGGCTGCACAGGCAGCCGCGGGAGGCAGCGTGCCCCCTCCCCGAAGCCCAGGCAGAGCAGAGCGGAGGTAGGACGGCCCCACCCCGTGGGAATCCTGCCCGGGGGCTGCCCCTCGGAGCAGCCTCTGGCTCCCCAGTTGGGACAGGGCAGAAGGGCATCCCAGCACAGCCAAGACCCAGAGGTGGGGTCTCAAGCCTAGCCCACCGTATGACTGGTAGACGACCCAGGGCCAGAGTGGAGGCAGGGTCCAGAGGCTGGGAGTCCTTGGGGCTGGGCAGAGGCCGCTGGCCGGGTCCTGACAACAGCCAGATGGTGGGCAGAGGCACAGCGCGACCAGGGGGCGCACACAGCAAGGGGGCGGAGCCAGCATGGCTCCAGGCGGGCCTGCCTCCCCTGCCTGTGTCCCCCTGCCTGTCCCTGGGCTGATCCCGCCCCACCCTGCAGGCCCCGCCCTGCAGGCCCTGTCCTGGCTCACCGAAGTATGTGACCAGTAGGAGTAGTCAAAGCTGAAGCTCTTGGGTGTCTCCTTGGGCTGCTTGGGATTCACAATGGCTATGGGGAGGAGGAACACAGTGGTGAGCACTGGGACTAACTCAACCACCCTGTGCACACTCCCCAGTCAGGGCCTCTGGCCAAGAGGAGGAGGAGGCCGGAGACTGCTTCCAAGAGCATGGGCCTCGGTGTCCTCTGCGGTGGACTGTGCGGTCCACAGATGTCTGAAGTCCTGGCCAGGCTGGCCTCCCGTACCGCAGAGGGGCGCACCTGGCTTGGAAATGGTGTCTTTAAAGATTTAGTTATCAAAATGTCAGGTTAAGGAGAGCCTTCAACCCAGGGACTGCTGTCTTTGTGAGAGTAACAACATCTGAAGAGAGACCCAGACATGCAGGGAAGACCTGTGACAAAGGGACAGCCACGTGGCCAAAGTGTGGGAGGCGGGGGGACAGTCCCCGGGGGTCATCAGCCACACCCCTGGGCTCACACCAGGACGGTCGCCTGGGCTCACACCGGGACGGTCCCCAGGGGGTCATCAGCCGCACCCCTGGGCTCACACCGGGACAGTCCCCAGGGGGTCATCAGCCTCACCCCTGGGCTCACACCAGGATGGTTCCCAGGGGGTCATCAGCCGCACCCCTGGGCTCACACGGGGACGGTCCCCAGGGGGGTCATTAGCCGCACCCCTGGGCTCACACTGGGACGGTCCCCAGGGGGTCATCAGCCTCATCCCTGGGCTCACACCGGGACGGTCCCCTGGGCTCACACC